CTGGACATGTCCAAACCACTGTCCCTCCTCTGGACATGTCCAAACCATCTCAGTCTGGTCTCTCTAACTTTATCTCCCAGTTGTTCAACCAGTGCTGTACCTCTGATGATCTCATTCCTAATCTTATCCATCCTTGTCACTGCTAAGGAGAACCTCAACATCTTCTTTTCTGACACTTCCAATTCTTTCTCCTGTCTTTTTGTCCATGTCTCTGTCTCCAGACCATACAACATAGCTGGTCTCACCACTGTCTAAGGGAGATGATTGTGGACTTCAGAAGGAACAAAAACACCTACACCCCCCTGAACATAAGAGGATCTGCGGTGGAAGTGGTCTCCAGCTACAAGTACTTGGGTGTACACATGAATGACAACCTCAGCTGGAGCAACAACACCACCAGCCTGATCAAGAAAGCTCATCAGAGACTCTACTTCCTCAGACGGCTGAGGCGAGCTGGTCTGGGAAGCTCAGTCCTCACCTCCTTCTACAGGTGTGCAGTGGAGAGCATCCTGTGCTCGAGCATCAATGTGTGGCATGGAGGCTGCACAGCTGCAGAAAGAAAAGCTTTGCAGAGAGTGGTGAAGGCTGCACAGAAATCTGTTGGAGTCAGTCTCCCCACCATCACAGACATCTACACCTCCAGATGCAGGAAGAGGGCCACCTGCATCATGAAGGACCCCACCCACCCAGCACACACACTTTTTGCCCCACTCCCCTCAGGAAGGAGGTTAAGGAGCATTAAGTGTAGAACCACTAGACTGAGGAACAGCTTCTACCCTGAGGCTGTTAGACTCATGAATCTCTAACTAGAATAATCACTGTGAAAAACCATATCATGTTGCTGCTGATCTGTTTCATGTTGCTGCTGATCTGTTTCAATGTTGATGTGTTCATGCGTGCACATCTGCTCACAGACTCATGTTCATGTTTGTGGTGATGTTCAATGTTTTATGTTATGAGTGCTTAGTGTATATTTAGTTGATGTTTTTCTTAGTTCATATCTTAGATGTTATTACTGTTTTTCTTATACATTTTATTGTTGGATGTAACTGGGACCCTGTGTACATAATTTCGCTCCACCACATGTACCACATGAGGTGCGAATGACAATAAAGAAACTCTGACTCTGACTCTGACTCTCTGACTCTGTCTTGTAAACTTCTCCTTTGACCTTTGGCGCCACCTTTTTGTCACAAATCAAGAGAAACTTTTCTCCAGCCACTCCATCCTGCCTGGACTCTCTTCTTCACCTTTTTCAGAGCTTCCAGAACCTTCCTCAACTTCCACCATTTGGTCTTCTTCTGACTTTACTCATTTCTTCTTCACAACAGTCATTCTACTCACAACCATCTGATGCTGTCTGGCCACACTCTCCCCTGCCACAACCTTACAGCCTCCAATCTCCCTCAGGTTTCCTCGTCTACACAGAATGTACCGTGGCCTACCTGCATACTCCTGCCTCCATATTTATAGGTCACCCTATTTTACTTTCTCTTTTGGAAATAGGTGTTGACTACATCCATTCTATCCTCTTGACAAAATCCACCACCGTCTGGCCTTCTTGTTCCTTTCCTTGACACTGTAGAAACACTGACCATGTGGATTTATTTATTTTATATAATTAAACATGGGTTAATATTCCAACCATCGTAGGATGCATATTTGTTTCACTCTCACATCATGAGAGCTTTTCTTGTTCCCTCAGACTACGGGCACCGTTGTTAATTCCAGACAGTCACACAACGAGCCTGGACCCTTAAAAGATATTTTGTACTTGACAAGTGGTCCTGACACCATGAAGCTTAACAGTGTGCCTAATCTTCTGGGAAACAGAAGCTAAATAATTATTCATTATTGTTCATTTTTATGTTTTTGATATGTGTACATGATATTTCATGGTGTTTCACTTATAATCTCTCAAGCATCTCAGGTTGAAAAGGATTCTTCAATCAACTCTGAGATGTGTGTTTAATGGCTAACCGCTCATATTTCTTCATTCTTAATCTTTCAATGGGTTTTTGCTATTATAAATACTTTGTATGTTACACTACCAGCAGTGTTTTTACAAATGTTGATTAATTGTGATACCAAGGTATAGACAACTTTTGAGTACTGGTATTTGAGAGGATTAGAGAGTTAGATTTTAAAGTTTAAACTTGGCTTGCGATAAGTTAAAATATCCCTTCGTAATTGTCCTACAGATAGTGCTGAAGAGAAATTAGTCTTTCATTTGTAGGTCAGGTAACCTAAACATGACCCTATAATGGTCAGAATCAAGACATCAAACTTTCTGTCCATCATCATGATTACCTTAGCTTTTAGCTATTCCTCCCAGTTCTTTAATGCTCTCCCAACACTTGAAAGAACAGAACCAAAGAAGGTGAGAAAAGACAAGAGGATCTCCAGAAGGACAGTATCTTCAGAATGAATCTACAGGACAGCAGACAAAGGCTCTCCCTGTTGTACACAGCTGATCAGGCAAGCCCAGATGCAGGCAACATCTGCAGTTTCCTCATTTTAAAGTTATGGGATTTACCTTTTTAATGACTGAACTTTGTTTTATTAAACAGATCATTTGGTATTTTTTATGACAACTTTTTGAGAAACCGTTCAGCTGAACTTTGTTGCTTTCTGATGCATGCTCAATAATCCAGGTAGATAAATCTAACAAGGTTGAGTCAGGTCATCTCGACAGATTCTTCTTTGTTGAAACATTTCGTCTTTTATCCAAAAAAACTGCTTCAGTCTGAGGAGCTGCAACAAACTCAGTTTTATAAGCACACTTTTGCATAGTGGATCGACCAATTTGCTGGTGAGAGCCGAAACGAAAGTGCAAAGTGATTTTGAACCAGAAAGGCTATTTCTTTTTTTTTTCAACCTGTATTTAAACAGAT